ATTTGAGGCTTTCTTCACCTTTCTTCTTGATCTTCTTTAAAGTCTTACATCTCACTCATCCTGTCTCAGAACAGTCACTCATTTTAACAGCACAGCCATAGTCCCCAGTTCTACAGCATGAGCCACAAAAAACCCCAGAGATGAAGGAAATATTAGAGATCACAGGATAGCTCAAAATCTGGGTTTCCTGCATTTTAATGCAAAGTCCCATTACAAGTCCAGAACGACCATCACAGCTTTTATTTGCATTTCAACTTTTTCCCTTTCAGTCTACACTTCAACTCCAGGCCGAACTCTCCCCCTTTTCCACCCCCCAAATTCCAGTGAGTGTCAGGCAAATGCTCTCAGTTGTGTCTGTGCCTGTCACTGATTGATGGCTGAGGGACTGACCAGACCTGGTTAGAAATTACCAGCTGAGTGGCAGTAATTGATGGCAGCTCATTAATTACACCCCCATCCTGGGCACTGGCAGGCAGAGGAATGTCCCACTCAAAGGCAGGCAGGGCACAGACCCAGCCCCCAGGGACTGGGGATGGACAAGAGGGAGAGGATGCTGCCTTCCTCCCCTTTCTCATTTTTAGTTCATTTGCCAAGAAGGATTTCCCTTACCCAAGACTGAGACTTTAATGAGCAATCTGTGCCCCTCCACTAAACATCCCAGTTGCTTTTCAACCTTTAAACCAAACTGTTCTGTAATCTGTTTTCATATAGTTTTGCTAAATCTTTCACCAGCACCACCCCCAAGACTGAGACTTTAATGAGCAATCTGTGCCCCTCCACTAAACATCCCAGTTGCTTTTCAACCTTTAAACCAAACTGTTCTGTAATCTGTTTTCATAGTTTTGCTAAATCTTTCACCAGCAGGACTTTCATTCCATGGAAAAACCCATTTCCCCCAAAGCTGTAGAGTCTTTTTGACTAGAATGAAAGAGAAACATATTCTATTTTCAGAACTTTAGTAACCCTGACCCTAGAAGATTGTTACCTGCTTAGTTTTGGACCTGGATATACCTCTCCCTCTTGGTGCCCCTTCCTACTTCCTAATCCATTACATGAATAATGAAAAGAGAAAAGTCAATATCAGAAGCATCTGTAAACACCTCTACAAGCAGCTGACTTGTATTTTTCAGAAGCATTAGTGCTTGATTGTATAGCTTTAGTATGTGTGAACTCACCAGAGGGTGGCAGAGAAAAATGTAATTACATACTTTTGTAAAACTGCTCTTTACCCCAAGCTTAGCATAATTTATAGAAGTGAATTAGTCTGGTTTAAGTGCTGTGATGAAAGGAGTGTACTGTGTTCTACACTTGTATCCTAAATTTGTAGATAAAAATAAGCAAAAGCTTTCCAGGGCCAGAGGTCACTAATTTTGATTGCTAAATACTTTTTCCCAGGTAATTTAACTCTTAATTTAAGAAAATGTTTAATTAGGCATAAATAAGCTGCTGTAATTTAAAAGAAAAAATGGAGAGAGTATTGCATGAGGTCTTTATTAAAGGCATAGCAGAAAATAGCCCCTTTTTAAAAGCTAGTATCATGCCAGAATTTCAAATGCTCATTTTCCCCTTCCTGTTTTCTGTTATCTCTCATTTAACGAGTGCAGTGGTTGAACTTTTCTTGTCATTGAGAATCCTTCATACAGAGGGAAGATGACATTTGAACAGACCAGTATGGAATGATGAGTATGGAATTAGCAGTATGATGCTGCTGGAGTTCTTAAAAATTTTAATTTTTTATATGTTTCAAGATTTATTGCTGAAAATTTTAAATTTTTTTACTATCTCTTGAATAATGGCAATGCTGTCTTACCCTGCAGGATATATTTCAGCTGTCAACACTTTGCTGCTTAAAAAGAAATTAGAACACTTTCAGTTCTCAAATTTGAAGCCATTGTGATAGTGTCTAATGTTACTGCAGTCTGGAGATTTCTGTGACCAATTACTGCTGAATGCCATTCTATACTCTGTCATTTCTTTGGTGTCCCTGATTTATCTCTCAAAGCTTTTATGACTTTACCTTTGCTTTTATGTAGAGGCAGAGCAGGTCATGTGATTATCCAGAGGAATTGGTATGATAATTTTCTTCAAGCTGAGTAGGTGGAAATAATTAATGGACTGCTTTATTGATGTACATAGATTACTGATTCTCTCTGTGGTTCCAATTCCCAGCCTCAATAAAGTAGCTTGAGATTTTATCTGAGGTACCAGTAATTAATTACACAGGGCAAGAGTAATCACTGCACAAATACAGTCTTTAATGGTGTTTTACACCATTGCCAGGCCAGTGAAAAGGCTTAAAAATACAAACAAAAATGTGCTGATGGATAAGTTGACACCTTTCATTTAAATTCATGAACTCTGGAGAAACTTAAATTCAGAGAATCTGTGCTCCTGGAAGTTGAGCAAGCTTCAAAGAGGAATTTATAGGCTTGGTGCAGTAAAACAGAAATAACCTGCCTGTCCTGTCTAGACTCCACCTCATGTCATTGACAGGGATCAGTAGCAGAGACCTTGGGAAAAACAAGCATCTATAAAAATAAACACCATAAAAAATTGGATCACATTTGCCACTTTTTGTCTCTCCAAGCCTGGTGCAGGTTTTAAGCAAGGATTTTGGCAGTTCACATCACTGTGGTATTCATCCTAGTGTTTTGTGTGACCTGAATGAATCTGTTAACTCTATCTGTTTATACTAAAAGTCACTTTTCTGATGCTTGATTCTGAGACAGTTTCTCAGATTCATTCCTCATAAAAGAGCTCCTGTGTGGGAACATCCCTTGACACCATTTTGTGAGCAGTAAGGAAAAGAGCTCATACTGCTTTACTGACACATAATGTTTCCTGTGCTGCTCTTACAACCTGATCTGTCACTATAGGACATGAAATAAAACTACGTGGACACACAACTCTTTAAGGTAAAAAAGAGGCAGTTTAATTTCTGACTCCAACATTTATAGATTTCCAAAAGTGGCAGTGGATTGGAGGGTGAAAGTGCCACCTCTCCAATGACACTGGACAAACTAACAGTCCGTCAAATTTCTCCTCCTCCATAAAAGAATGCAAAAAAATCAATTTTTTAAAAAAATTTTATTGCAGTTAGGCAATTCAGATGTCATACACCCTTGTTCCCATCCTGGGAAAACTAGTGGCTCCTCTCAGCAAAATGCAGACTGTTCCCTGCAGGCAATACCATTCTGCTTATCTGCAAGTTTGCTGTTCCTATGGAAGGATATCCTTCTGGGACACCTTTCTCTCCTTGCTTTCCTCTGGAGAGGGGAGGCTCATATTCATTTCAGCAAATCCTTGGTACTCATCACCAGAATAGCTCTCAAGCCTTCCATTATTTTTCTAGCTGCTTTAGTTTCACTGCTGTTTTGCATAGGTTTGGTAAAAGCCATCAGAATCCCTCATCCTTTTGTGTCATGCTGATACTGAAACATCTTCACCTATCTCAATATAAATTGCTCCCAGTAAATTGAAAAGAGAGCAGCTGCAATAAGATACAGATTAAACAAAGTCAGAGCTTCCTGCACGGGTATAAAATGTAAGTAATCCACCTCACCATACAGCACACACACACACAAATCTGTTGTCCACAGTGTGCCAGTGCCACTCCTTACAGTTTCAGTAAACTAACAGAGTTTGGAGAAATAGAAACTATCACCTAATAACAGGGAAAGTGACAAAAGTTCTGGAAAAAGGCAGGAACAAAAAGGAACATAGCATAAGGAAACTACCAAATTACAAATCAAACAATAAACCTACTAATAAAACAAAAAACACACCACAACATGCCAGCATACAGAGGATATAAACTCTGAATTTTCTGTTAGGAGAAGGTTGAAGGCATTGATCAGACACAAACTTATAATTTGATGTCTGTATAATATGTTTGCAACAACTCAGCTCCCAAGCAGTGTAAGTTTAGGGGGATTTATAGAGGAAGCAGAGATGACACAATCACTATATTCAGGCTTTGGGTACAATAATCAGGAGCTGGAGCACCTTGTTAAATGATATTTTGAGGTGGTATTTGGCCTGCATGCAAACTAGAGAGTCACAGTAGCTCCTGTACAGTACAGGAACTGTCTAAAATGTTTCAGAGGTTCACACACAAAAAAGGAGCATATTCCACACATGAGTAGATTTTGGTGGAAATAAAACATAATTATGGGAAAGGAGATACTGTTTCATTAATGACTTAAGCCCAAGTAGAACCTTGTCTGCTAGTTAAGCTGGAATAAAAAATTACTACAATTTTTATATGTTTTCCTACATTCATACACCCGACCTCTTCAGACTAAACAGTTAATTCAGTACCTGTGTTTAATTTAAGCTGTGGCTTCCTACATGAACATTCTTAGATTTTTCTATTACAGTTCTGAATACTTTTAGATCACTTTGGGCATCTAAGCAGCAGCACTAATTACTTTAATTAAATGTAATCAGACATTAATATTGCTTAATATCCCTGTCCTCTAGTCAACTTAGGTGTGCAGTTCTGAGTCAGTCATCTTAATTAACCTTGGGCTGAAGCACAGGTGGAATCACTCTGATCCATGGGGTGAGTGCAGCAGTGGGGAATTTATCTCTTTTGTGTGCCCAGAAAGAGCAGCAGCACTGGAGAGCTCCTGAAGCTCCAGTCTGGGGTGTTTAGAGAGGAATCAAAGTTAGCATAAGGACTAGTGATTCGCTTTCCTATTGCTCAGTAAATATTCTGCAATAGCAAAAGAGCTGTTTATTACTGAACCTGGGATTATATCTAAGAGGAAAAGAACTAACCCACCTTCTTTCCTGATACAAAATTAAGTGAAATCTTATGTTTTGGTCTTGTAGTATGAAGTTTTAAATTTCAAGTGCAAGATGAATTTGCCTGTTTTCAGTTTCAAAGTGTGTGTACAGACAATCTGACAAGTTTAATCGCCTGGCCATCTGCCTGGCATGCACTGCTCTAGTCTTTCCAGACGTCCATTAAACTTGCACTTTCTTATATTTTGCAGTACCCTCCTTTTGGGGTTTGGTGAACTCAGCTTGGAATCTGTGCTCAGTTGGGAAAAGACAGTCACCTGTCAATATTGAAACCAGCCATATGATTTTTGATCCCTTCCTAACTCCTCTTCGCCTAAACACAGGGGGAAGAAAGGTAGGTGGTCTCTGTTCTGGTGTATAAAATAAATGGTGTTAGTAGATAAAAAAAAAATTTGCTATATTTTATTTTTCTAAAGCATTTACTTTTTATCTGTCAGCTCCAAGACAGAATAACAATGTAGCATGTTTTAAAGATTGTCCTTAAATCACTGAACTAATCAATTCTGTTTATCCAGCTGAAGGATTGATATTTCAATTCTGAAATTATTTTATACATAATTATTTACATATTACCTTATTTTATACATAATAACCTTTTAGCAGTCTTGGCAATACTCATTAGTTTATAATGGTTTTGTGTTGCTTTTCGTATGTTGGGGTGCCTAAAAGGGTATTTTAAAGTATTTATTGCTTGTTCCATGCAGGCAGTTGTCTCTTACCCAACTTATGTTACAGACCAAAAGGGATGGCAGTGCTATTTGCCAAATATTGATACCTCTTTGACCCAGTTTTTTGCAATAAGGCTGCAGTGAGCAGTGATGTATTGCTTTTTGTGCTGTCCAATGATTTCAGGGCAGTGTCAGGTCACACATTTACAATTTAAGCACCATCAGATATTATTCTGAGTTGTGCTCTTATTCTGTATGTGTGATTCTCCATTTCCTGAGAAAGTGGCTTAGCAGGTCCTGAAGTCTTGAGTGTCATTGATACAGATAATTGGATTTCAAGATCCGGAACTTCAGCACAAGATATTTAATGAGTTTACATGCAGAAGAAGAAACGCTGCTTTTGAGGAAACTCCCCAGGTTCCAGTTCTCTCTCAGGCCCAGCTTTGTCTCTCAGTTATCCATTTTAATGAATTCAGCAAGCAGCCCATTTCAGATAAACAGCCCTTTCTGATAAACAAAGCCAACCTTTATTCATTTGCAAATCACACTTCTCCTTGTCACAAAGAATGGCACCCTTTTACTTTCTCTGCTCTTTTTGCTTTGGATTCACTTGAGCACCAAAGCAATCAGCACAATAGAATATCTTACATTTAGGCAGAAAGCACCTTGGGTTTCAATCTCCAAAGCAGGGTTTCCAGCCTGTCATGGGTGATTGTGGTGGATGAAAAAATCACTCCACTTCCCACTCTCCTGGTCCTTTGCTGGGACTCCTTCCTCAGTTCACCTCTGCAAGAGCTCCACCTTTGGTCCCCCACTTTTTGTCCCTTGCCTTTCTGTAGCCCATCTCACTTTGGTCTCCTGGTTCTCTGTGGACTTAATTTCAAAAGCCCCATTTCTAGAATTCTTTAAGACTCAGTACAGTTGTTGGCCATCCTTTTTTTTTTATTTTTCTCCTAAAAACATGTGAGCAGCAGCATTTGCTTTAGACAGCAAGTGCATCCCTGCTAAGTAATTAAACCTTGCCACATCAGTGACCTTATGTCTTATGAGTCATTTTAGGTCACACTCAAGGACTGAAATTGTTGCCTAAAGCAGGTAAAGTTCTATTTAAAACCACTTTATTTTTAAGGCAAGCCAGGACATTATACCTGATGTTGACCCCTGGGGAAATAAAAGCAATTGATGTCTGCTGGCCAAGGTCTGTTATTCTGTAGCTCAGTGTGCATAAATGGAAGTTAATCAGCAAGATCCACACATCTGCCTGCTCATATGGGGCATTAATGAATACAATCGCATATTATTTAAATTAATATCCATATAAATAATTGGTTCATTCTATGCATTACAAGATAATGGCTACATTCAGCAGCTTCTAAACTAAAACAGAGTGGGAGAAAAGAGATTTATGGATTGAAATCAGTTAAATGGTTTCTGTGCCAGTTAGTTCTGATTCCATGCTGTTCAATGAATTCAGAGTATTACTAGCATTTTTCTCAAGAGTGCAATATATGACAACTGCCAAGGTTTGCTTTGGTGATTACTAAAAGGACAGATACTGGTATGAACCATATTTCAGCACTGCAGGAATATAAAAAATGAAATGTTAGAAATGGTCCAGGAGGAATGGATAGCAATAAGACATCAATGTCATCTGTAAACTGACTTGTGATATACTTTTAGAGGTCTTAATAATGATTTTTGATGTAAAGTAGCTTTGGAAAGTCAAAAGTCTGATGCGAACATCAAAAACTTTAATGAATAAAAAATGAAATGTAGTATTGCCACTTAAATAATTGTTTACCATTTCTTATGCTTCTACAGTTCTGCACACTCTGGGATGTGTTAGTGAGTGAACTTGCAGTGCAAACAGCAGGTTAAAGTAACTTGTTTATTTACCCTCATCATGGAATTTAGAACTGGAAAAATACGCTGGTTTTTTTCAGAGGTAGACTGCAGACTTTGCTGTTAGTAGATCATGCACATGGCAAAGTTCAGGATCTGCATCTTACTCTATATGGGGGCCTTTCTTTCCTTACTGTTTCAGTTGTCCATGAGATTGCATCACTTTGGAATATGTGAAGGCTCAGCTAGGCTCCTTGGTGTGTTCTCAGTTTCTGGTTGTCTCTGGCACAGATCACCCATGAAACGAGTCCTGAACAGGCACAAGAATGTATTTCTGCAGCTTCTTCATTACTCTGCTTGACATTTAATCTTGTCTGGTGCCACAAAACAAACTCACTTGTCTGCCATGGAAAATTTCCTGGGAGATCCTAGACCTGGAGAATTATTCACTCCACCAACAGCACCGTACTCTGGTGCTGAGCTTGGGGTATGATCTCAGTTTGGCAGGAGGACCTTGCAAATCATGTTTCTGTATCTCAGCTGCAGTTGTGCAGTGATTCAGAGCAGACCACGGTGTCCTTGCAAAGGTGGGTGTGCTGTCTGTGGAAATGCACTCACTGGATGTAATCAGAAACATCAACAGGATCTGCTTTCCTGGACACTGGGCAGCAGGTCCATTAGAAGGTTAAAGATGTTATTGAAACTGAGCTAACAGATCCCAGCCAAAGGCCTTGCCCATCCTTTCTCCCTCCTCATGTTTATTTCAATAAGTTGCTATCCAGTTTTCAGTCCCTAATGATGAGACTTAGAGAGGAAAAAAAAAAAAAGACTGGAGCTGCAACTGGCCTCCAGCTGCAATTTGATATATTCAAAAGAATTTTTAAATTTGCCCAGTTTGTTCTTAATGCCCCTTTCCTATTTTCTAGTAGACCCTATGCTCTGCATTGATAGTATCTTATTTGGATTTATTTCATCCTGCACTTAGGTCTGTTTATAAACCTAGATATTTATTTCAAGCCTTGCAGAAGCAAAAGTAACATATATCTTGTCTATGTACATGATTCTCTGGGGTTATAGTCACTGGTATGAAAAAGGCTGAAGATTTTTTTCTCTCCCACTGATCCGGCTGTTATAGTAAAAGTATGCCAGTCTCCTCACACCATATGCTTTAAATGACATATAATTTTGTATTTCACCATTAAAACACATTTCCTGGACTGAAAAATTATTATTATTTGCTTTTTTCTCTTGTTAAAAACATTAATAAATATATGACATATTGAAATGTAATAACATATAATATGTTGTTTAAAGTGTGTATTTTTGACACAACATCAATGAAATATTGTTAACTGAGAGCCCACTCTAATGGATGGGGATGTTCCATGTCATTTTGTACACAGAATTTGAATCATACTACCAAGGTCAGGATACCTGGGGAAGGTGCATGCATGTCCAAGGTTGTTCAGCTGCCAGCAGTTCATGAGGCAAAAACATTGCCATGCTAAAAAGAATTAATACAATCCACATCCCTCTCCTCCTGGTAAATCCTGAACTCAGCAGTTACAAGTCTGTGTTTGCAGTTCAATGGCAAAAGCCTGCAATTTTGGTATATCAGAGTTTGGGTTTTTTTTCTTCTCAGAAAGCCAATGTTAGTTACCTGTTATGGTCAGTCCATCCTTTAGGATGGTGACATTCAGCATTTAAGCAGCTACATTGCTGCTGTGGCTACTAGTGGCTGCCATCCCCTCTGTCTGAAATGGCTCTGGAATTCTGTAAGTCTGGATTAGGATGTGAGTGGGGACTTCATAATGTGTGTAAGGTGTCTGCTGCACATCTGGGAAGGTGCCCCACTTTGGCTGAGGCTGTTTGTGGCAGCAAGGTGCTGATGTGGCTTCCCAAAGAGCTCTGCTGGTGGCAGCTGTGAACTGGGAGCTGTCCAGGCCTCAGCTCCTGACAAATTGAACCTAGCCATTAAGGAAGTGATGGAAAAGGTTCTTTTTTTTTTTTAATGTTTTCCTCACTTTCATTCAAAATGGTTAAATCAAGAAATCACCAGATATTCAGCAGGTATTTCTGCCTTGCAGCTGGAGTGGGTACTGTGAAAGACACATGTCAGTTCTGCTGGGAGATAAATGACACTGCTGCCATTCCCAGTTCTGAGTAGCATTTGTTGCTGGAGAGAAGTGCAAATTCAATATTTCTCATCCCAGAAGTGTTAATCTGTGATGGTTGAAAACTGAAGCAGGCACAGTTTGCTTATAGATGGAAGAATTAAACTATGTATTTTAGGATTAGATGCTAGAAAGGAGCTTAAGGGGAAAAACTGAAAAATTGTTGTCAATGAACTCTATTTAATAATCAAAAACAAATCTGTGGATCGGTATGGGATCTAGAGAGTGGAGGAGTGGGAGCATTTAAGCTGTGTGTCATCCAGCAGGCTGAGGGAAAACATCAGTAGATGATTCTGCAGCAGACGAGGAAAATGTAATTAAATTTGGGGTACAAAACTGTTCTTACTGTAAGGGACAGGGGCTTATAGGCCTTATAAGAAAACTGGAAAGATTAAATAATCCTTTTGCATGTACCCTTTTTTTATTTGGTATATGTTGTTCCTGTACAGAAAGTGACAGAGACTCAGAGCTCATGGTGGTGCTGTTGGTGTGTGGTAGCCGTGTCACTTAGTAAGTGTGAATCAGTAATTCTTTGTCTGTATTATGTCATTTCCAACAGAATCAATTAGAACTGAGCACTCCAGCGAGGTATTTTTTATCAAGTCATTGTTTGCATCCCTGAACAACAACCAGACCCAAAACTACCAGGG